AACAAACCCTGCTAATATACATAATTATCTTATTACACAAGCCATAAATGACTAATTTGGTCTGTCACTTCTGATTAATGCTTTTATACACTTAATGCATATTCCAACTTGGCCAGTTAGTTCTGAGTTACAAGTGTCCATAGATGGTAAGCACTCATTGCGATGCATATAATTGTCAAGTACTTTCCAAAGAAAAGACAAAAGTTAATGTTGAACCTGAAGTTGGTAGCTCCGTTCCCCTTTTCCAATTTTGCTAGTGTAGTTTAGTTATTTTTATCACTGTAATATTGATGTAGAGTTTATCTTACTTATGACCATCAAAGGCTCCCAACATGCATAGAAATGTAGTTATTGTCTGTTTTGAAATTAAAATGTTGAAGAAGGTTAGTGACATGTAGCCAAGATACTTGGAGGGAGTGCTTTCAATAAAAACAATGAAATTTACTGAATCAGTGAAAGGAGTCTTTCTTTGTGTGGTGTTATTATTTTTTCATGACTATTAGTAGTGTTGCCTTGCACTGTTTCCTTTTAAACAGCCACAGCAAACAAACTCAAATTACATTTATTGGTTGCTACAAGCACTGAGGATTTTGAAATTACAACTTGTCTCTGTGAATGCACTATCTCTTTCAAATACTGTCTATATTTTCAAAATTTTATTAATGATTTCATGTTAAAAAAGGTCATCATTGTAGATGTAGGATTACTATTAGTGGATACCCTGTTTAACTTAATATTTTATGTCTAGAAACACATCAATTTAACTAACAGTTAATTGTAATAAGTATAATGAGTGAAAATGAGATAATTTGAGAAAAGTTGTGGAAAAAGTCAGGGGTAAATATATTGTAGTTCAAGAATTGTTAGTTAATTTTATTATCCTTGTAATTTTCTTGGATAGCAATTTAGAAAAAACACCAATGCAAAGTTTTGAATTTATGGCACAATTTTTTCTCTTTAACTGGCCACTCATTTGGTTTATAACCTGCAGTTAATGTCTTGAACTATAAGCATGGGCCAATGGTTGAAACATCAGCTTTTCAAATGTTGCTCTAGTATGCTGTGGTTGTTGATTAATAAAGTTTTTTTTGTAACTTTTTAACCCAGGGTACCAACAGTAACTATAACTGTAAAAATAATGCTTGTAATAATGAGGACAAAAATAATGACAATAATACTAATGATGATCAATAGTTAAACAGGACAACCCCTTAAGTAAAGACCAATAGAGTTATAAATGGAAATCCTCTAAAAAGGAAAATACTTTAGGTGGTTTTTAGCTCTGAGTAATGTTAGACCTGTGTTTTAAATACTTACTCTTACCTGTGGCAATGCACCATCTATTACTGATATAGGTAACACAACGTCAGTTCTTGGCTCTGAACAACTTTGTCAGAATACCAACCAGTCAATTCAGTCTGGTATGCAGGTAAGTATATGTGACAAGTCACCATACAACAATATACACTTGATTGCAAAAATGTTTACACCTAAAAAGCATTATTTTACAATGAACGATGATTCCCTTCAAATTTATTGGTCAGATGTACATGCACCCTGCAGGGTTAGGAGACATTAATTTCCCACGCATGAGATTACTGGGTGATGGATGTCCTCCCCTGGGGTGGGATGGGTGGGTGTTATTGTTTCACAGGGCCCCATTTAAACTAGCTATTTGCTAAACTGGGCTACCCTGTATAAATATTCGTAAATACAAATACAAAATACACCATTGGTTACACATGGTGAATGGTAGAAGCTATCCAATTTTTCCCAAAGAAAAGCACTATTATTGGAATCGATTTTCCATGAATAATAAGAAAAGAGTCACTGATTATAAACCAGTGTGTACATTTCCCACAAAACCACGGGGTCCAATTGTTCATGGATCAAGCTTTTGAGGTGTCAATGTTTTTGAAAATGGGTGTATTCAACTCTACTTTTGCTAGAATACTCTTGTTTTTTTGGTTACAAGATTTATGAAAATTCAAACACATCAATGAGAATGATCTAATTGGAGTAAAAAACTCAAACTTTCATTGTGGATGAATCCTGTCAACACTTTCACTCTCATTAGTAAATCTCCTTACCATCCATCACCCATACAATTCATATAATGTGAGTTTGGAGAATTTTGTAATGGATCCACTAATCCTCTAATAGATAATTTTCTACTTTCTCATCACTTGTCTGCTTGGTTTTTGACTGATATTGTAAGGGGAAATTCTGTCTTGGTCACTCATGGGAGTTGAAGGGTTAAGCTTCCCAGCCATTTCACTCGCAAGCTGGTGCTGCTTCCCAAATTATGAGTAAAAGGATAATAGTGTATGTGTAGTTTGAATTCCAATTTTATTTGACAAATCATTTGAAGTTGTCTTATCTGCTAGAACACTGAAATGAAATACAAAATGAAACTGATTTGAAACCTTTTTTTTTTTAACAAACAAATGGAATGAAATCTGTATTTTGTGTGCCTATTAGTTATCAGTTTTGAAACTTAGTGTTTCTATTTTTGCACAGGTGGGACACTTTATTACAAGCCAGATACAAGCTCTTCCTGTTTCTCAAAATGGAGGTGTAATTTCTGGGTTCTCAACTTACACCATTCCAACCACCTCACTAACTCTCCCACCATCAGTTGTTTCACAAATTCAAGTGGTGAAAGCTCAGGAACCATCCCCTTCACAAGAAATGAGTCAGACATCTGTTGAGGTGTCAGATTCACCAAATTCCTCCACACAGATCTTTGGCACATTATCGGATAGTTGTTTAACAGCTGACATGAAGGCCTTCATTGAGTCCTTCCGGGCACGACGGATTGCACTGGGATACACACAGGAGGATGTGGGTAATGAGCTATCTCACAGCAATGGACATTCCTCTTACAGTCAGTCATTTATTTCCCGATTTGAATCTAAAAACCTTGGTCTTAAGGCTGCAGAAAAAATGAAGCCAGTTTTGCAGGGCTGGATTGAGCAAAAAGAACAGGAGTGTGCTAAAGGTTTGAGAATGTGCAAAAAGCGCAAAAGAAGAACTTCTTTCTCAAATGAAACTCTACAGTATTTGATTCATGCATTTGAACAGAATCCAAAGCCTAGCAGTGCAGAAATTGGTGATATTTCCTCTAAGTTGGGCCTTGAGCCAGTTACAGTTAGAGTCTGGTTCTGCAACCGAAAACAAATGATGAAGCGAATGGCCTCTGGAAAAGGTCGCCCTAATCTCTCACTCAAAGCAGAGCTTGATGCTAAGAAACAGGAGGACCAGAGCTCAGAGAAAGAACCAAGTAAACTAGATTTTGCCAACATGCCAGTTGGCCAGTTCTCTTTCACGGAAGACCGGGTAAAAGCCTTGGTGTGTTTGACTTCTGAGGGAAGCCCAGTGAAAAGCTCGCGCCCATCAGTTTCAGCTACAGATGTGAGCTTTGCTCAAGTGCATGACGATAGTATTGTTCATTCAGTTCCTGGAACGCGGAACACTGCACCAGAAAACACACAGCTCATTGAACCAGCACTAATCAGTAATGGAGTAGCAACATTTGAGACAGTCTCTAATGTCCCTTTGACAGAATCTCAAGGTTGAATGAGACACTCAGTTCTTGACTTAAAACAGTTAATTCTGACAAGTCTGATGGTTTTCATGATAGGGTGCAGTGCAAACACACCAGTCAGTGAGTTACTTGATGACAATCCTCTGCATGGAACCTAGGTGTTTGTTGTTTTAGAAGCTGTAGATAGAAAACAAGTTTGCTTATGTCCCTTAAATGAATGTCTGTTCTTGATATTTGAAGCATTTGGGTAGAAAGTAGTTTGATTTAATTAATTCCTTGATTTTTTACACCATATTTGTTTCCTGACAAAGTTTTTAGGAGAAAGTGTTGAGCTTGTGCTGTGACACAAATGATGCATATCTTGCTCTAAACATGTACAGCTTCATATCTCTGAAGTAGAACTTGACTAGTAGGTGTCCATCTTATGGGAACTTTGAATTATCTTTGGATCTGTCTTGTTTATTCCAATTGGCTATTTTTAATTAATTTGGTGTTTCTAAAGAAACTGTTTGGGGCTGCATCGGTGGGGGTAACGAAATAATTTCGATATATCAACAAAGTTGAAATGGTAAATTGGCCACCATAACGATTACAAAAGCTGACGTTTTGAGTGTTAGCCCTTTGTCGGAGCGTTGTAATCGTTACGGTGGCCAATTTACCATTTCAACTTTGTTGATAATCCAAATTATTGCATTTACATTTAGTGTATGTTTGTAGATGCATGCAATCCACGAGAAGTCTTCATCAGGCATATAGGTATAATTTAAAAGCCATTCATTTCACTCCATGATTATGTACGTGTAGATTTAATATTCAATATCTAGTTAGAGGAATTTAACCATTACATTGCCTTTTACGTTCCTTTTTAAATTCATGTATTTTATTGTGCCTTTTTAAGCTGTGTACCTGTCACTTTTTCTAGTCTCAAGATGTTCCCACATGGCAGGTTCTATTGCACTTCGAAGAAAGTGAAAATATGATAGAACCACTCAGCTCTTAATTAGCTATTGTGACAAGTTGTAAAGTAGCTGGTACTAAATTATGTTGTGAAGTTTTCATTTCACTTGTGATTCTTTGTTAACAAGTGCTTCCACAAGTAGAACAGAAATATTGAAATAAGTGCTGGTAGCTTATTTTGATGCCATTTGAAAAGTTGCAATTTGGATGCCTGTGTAGAGAATCAATTAAAATGAATTTTTTTATGAATGGAATTAATGTTTTAGAGATAAGCAAGAATTGTATTGTAATTCTTACCTGATTTTGTGTGGCATTGAGTAACGTGGGTTTGCTGATCAGGATGAGATTGGTTATTATAAGCACGAAATGGGTTGCTAGCCAAAAAGTGAGCTGCAGCAGTAATTATTCTAAACCAGAATTTAAATCTTGGTAAGCAAAATTGAATTCTAATAGTTTTCCAGCCAGGTATTGATAAGAGGTAATAATTAACAAAATGTCCATGTATTTCCTTTTTATTGCAGTGGTTGATTACAATGTGCCTTATATGCAATTATAATAATTATTGTTATGACACAGAGGTATGCTCTTTGTAATGCTAAGAAAGCTTGAGTCACAATAAAGCTTCTAACCCAACTTAAATATGTGTGAATGAGAGTGCTCAGAGTTACCAAAATCTTATTTTGGAAAAAAGAGTATCCGGGGTTTATATTTATTTCACAAAGGATTTCTGGATGATTATTCAAAACTGGAACTTTTGGACCTAAATTCTGAAGACCATTAGACTGGAAGCTCAAATACACCATTTCAAAATAATGTGTGATTACACTTCTGAGGCCAATTTCCACTAAATTACTTTAATCAGTCAAAAAAGGTTAAGGAGAGGTGTGTTCTAGAACTAACTGATATATATCTTGGTGTATAAGAGAAGCATACTTGGATAATTACTACATACCACATTTGAGATCCCAAAGACTAGCCTACCTGTTAGCCTATGTGTAGTTGTACCTTCTCCACTAGGAGAAACGGAAGGGGGGGAAGGGTACTACGGCTACATGTAGGTTACCTGCCTGTTCCAAAATTGTCTTGTAAGGTGGCGAGAATTTTTTGAAGATGGACATCCTTAATTTGAAAAATGGGAGACAATGTCTTATTTCACAAACCGCAGCTACTCAGGTTATCAGATAATGGATCATTTCATCATGTACAGTAATATGTGCCTCCCTATTGTTCAAACAGATTACCAAAGGATGGGCAAGGAAGGAGTGGGAATGTGTTATGGGATATGAATTGTCAAGGAAGATACCACACATGGCATGGAAAGTCCAACATTTAGCAAAAGTGGAGACAAGTTTTGAAATATCTAAGAATGAGGCCACTTTAATAATGTCATGTAATTATACTTTTCAATTGGGGACACAAAAGTTGCTTGATTTTTTGGAGCATACTTGTACTATACAATGCAGACCCTCTTGAGAGTTTGGACACCAAGTGGTATAGAAGTTAGAGTTCTTTATGGTAACTGGCCCAGATGTTTTCAATTTTTCAGCTGCAGTGTCACAGTGATTTTCATTATGCAAAGAATTGTTACTTTCACCAACAGCTTCCACAAGCTATAGACAATCCTCTTTTCCTTAAATTGAGACCATCTCCACTCTTACCTGTACAGCACCAGTGTGTATGTGGTCTGCACTCCTATCAAACCAGCACTTTTTTGTTTTGAATCCTTGCCATGTGCAAACCAATAAAATCAATTTTCATTTGAATTATTTGAAGTTTCTTGATATTGCTTTGGAAGCTTAAAACCCACTAAGCTAGCCACTTCTTCCACTGGCCTCTCGCCCACCCCCTTGTACTTTTCCTGAAGCATCTATGACATATAAGAACAACAACCACCAGTTAATTATTTGTCACAAAATGAATGTATACAGTCAAATTCTACTAAAGGACCCCATCTCTACAGTGATTTCAGGTCAATATGATTTCAAGTCGAAGTGATTTCAAACTAGTTTGGCTTGTACTTTCCCATGGTTAAGGACTGGGCTAAATCGGGCTGAATCCAGGAGTTTTCTAAGGAGGGGGTGCAACACATAGCTGCCTATGCAATGATGTAAGTAATGGGTAATGTAACCAAACTGTAAAAGCTAACTACGAAGAAGGCTTATGACTCAGCAATAACATAATGTGAACAACATTTTCACAGCATTTAGCAGAAACGCCTCAACCTTGTCTCGTGTTTTACTTCAATACCAATAAACAGCAGAGTTTTTTTCCTTTTTTTTTTGCTGCTGAATTTTACATAGTTTTAATAAAAAGCTGAAGGTCATCTTCTTAGGGGGGGGGGGGAAAACACTCTCCCAGTACCCCATCCCTATCAATGTACCAAGAACAAAGGAGAAAACCACCCAGGTAGTTTAAATGTACACTACAACTGTTACATCTTTGTAGTAAAAATGAGATAAAACTCGCCTGAGCCATTCTTTGACTTCTAAGCAAACAAAGATAATAAACACAATCAGAGTACAGCTTGTGTGCTAAAGTTTCTCCAGCCTGGGAATGATTATGAAATTCTGTTATCAGATACTGGCCTTCCAAACTTGAAGTAACTGGTTCCTATGTGAATAGAGATTCCCACCATCAATGATGTTGTGGTCATTGTTTTGGTTTCTGTTACAAACTTTAACTTTTACATATCAAGTGTCTCAGTATTTTTCTGATATGGCCCTTTAACTTAAACTCCAACCCATCCCCATAGCAGAAGTCTGATTTCCATCAAAGATGAATATCTAAAACACAGGGTAGGGGTAAGGGAAGTGATTCATACTCCACCTTCAGTGAAAGCAAAATGAGGGGGGGGGGTTTGGGGGGGCCACCATCACATCTTCAAGGAGTGTTGAAATAACTACAGAATTTGTTGGATGTATCCTATGAATCTGGGGGAGAAATTTAACAGTGAAATCAAACTGGTTGAGTAATTTTGAAGCTGACCAAACGCTTTCAGTCTAATGTAGGGATTTTTTTTTTTCCAGTGAACCACATGAAATGAATATAAGGGCCGAGACGCACACAGCAGCTGAATTTCATGGCCCATGGCCTGACATCTCTTCTGAATTTCTCCCTTCTTCTCTCCATCTTCATCTCAAAACGCTACCCCCTCGTTCGAGTACAAGTACGTGTGACAATTGGGAGAGCACAGTGCTTGTAGCCCTTTGGGACGATGGAGCTCGCTTTTCGCGCGAAAAATAAAAGGTTATTCCAGATTTCCCATTTAAAACATTCCTTTTTTAAAAACAATATACCTTAATTGGCAATAAAAATCGCAACTCCCTCAGTATTCCGCGAAGAACCTGCAACCGTTGAAACGTCATGATTTACTATTTTTTGAAAACTTTCCAGGAAATTTCGTAAATTTTCATATGCCGTGGGACACGATATGAGACCGCACACTTTGTTATCAGTGGGTCAACCTCTTACGAAATTTATGTCATGTAATTCAAGATAATCTATCCTTGTTGATGAATTGGGTTTTGAATGGCGGCCTGCCAAAGTTTCAAGACTCAGTCTCTTGAAGATATTTTTGAACAAGGGTTTGTTTTACATTGTAAAATAGTAGATGACGATGAACCAAGCTCCTCGGAGATATTTCAGGTATTTTTACTCCCATATTGAGTTTTACAGCCAGCTTCTTTATACATACTACGTATTAGTTTGGATTTTCAATTTTGCACGGAAATGAGATCATGGTAAGTATAAAGGATAAGGCTACAGTCAAAGTGACGTTGTGGTTAACTCGTGGATATACTGTGTAGAATATCATTAGATTAAACAGTAATTGTACTAATATTCAATGATCCTGTGATTCCAAGAAACAGAATTGAGCCTCTGGTGAGTAACGCAGGTTTGGGTAGCCAGTGGGCTACTAAGTGATCTGAATGATGAAAGTTAAAAATTAATGCCCCCTCTTAAAGTAGCTTTATTCATTTTGATATATTATTAGGGTAAGTTTGCTGCACAGCCACATACTTCACTATACATACAATTCTCGGATAAAATAAACAATGGTGAAAAACAGTAGATTGCCTTTGGGATTACGGCTTTGTTTTATAATAGTATGAGGCTGTGCAGATATCTTACCGTAGTTTACACTGCTATTGGTGGAGAATACATCACAGCTATTCACTGAGGTGGCTAGTGGTGGAATTTTTGTCAAAAATCAATGCCAGCCACCAACACTGAGGTAGAGAGTATACTAAAACTGCAAGATAAGAATTTATGGTGCAATTTAAACTCATTTGTTCTTGCAAGATTACAATATTTTTGGGTGTAAATTCTGTGCAAGTTGCTCGGAGATGAATAGCAAAGGCATAGTTACTAAAAGTTGGAATCACCTGAAACCACCTGAAACCATCTGAAACCACCTGAAACCATCTGAAACCATCTGAAACCATCTGAAACCACCAATGAAACCACCTGAAACCATCTGAAACCCCCAAGGAAACCATCTGAAATTACCTGAAAATATCTCGAAACAATTTAAAACAACATGAAAGCACCTAAAAAATTACGGGTAACATGAGAAAATAAGTGTTAACAATCGAGTTTATCCACAGGGAGCCCGGCTTACGGATATCGTATATAATGCCCTACAGTACAGAATAGGCACCACAAACTGGGCTTTAGGCTTTTTTTT